TAAATCCTCTTCAGTCTTTTCTATCAGAAATCTGAAATATCCCAAGTAGGTCACACTTGAATTGTTATTCTTGCTTATGCACATACAGGCATCTTTGTAATTTCCTTTCTGATTTACTATGCCACAGAAATTCCTTAATTTGAATTAAGCAGCTCTGGCATATGCATTCCCAGCCATTGAGGTTTTGGGAAGCTGGGGAATAGCAGAGTTCTCATTCTAATCAATCAAAAATCCCACTCATCTGACACTTTGTAATTTCCTTTTTTTCTTATTGATGTTCTATACTGTGCTTGTCATGACTCTAACCACATTACAAAAAACAAACAAAAAAATTTGTTAGAAAAACTTCAGCTAAAATAAACTCCATAGTAAGAATTCAGTAAGAAAAGATACTTATGCTAAAAACAAGCAAACAAACAAAAATACCTTATTAGCAGCTTCCAATGCATTTATTAGGTTCTGTAACTCCTCCTTGTTCATTTCTATAGAGATTGGTTTAATTTCACCATTTTCTCTCACATCTAAATCAAGATTGAGAAGTGGCATTTGCAGCATGGAGATTTTGTCACTGGAGAGAGCAAGCTGTGTAAATTGATGAAACAAACAAAAAAAAGTCAAGGTGAGCCATACAGTTACTTAATCTCATATTTGTACTTTCTGTAGTAAGATACTACCACAACAAACTTCAACATAAAAAAGCTAGCTTCTCAGTCATTTCTGCAGCTGTAAAAACAAAAGAAAAAAAAAACAACAATATACCAGCAACACTTTGCATAGAAAAATATTTATCAGAAGAATTTGTTAAAACTACAGGACTTCTAATTTGTGTGTTGTAAACCACAAGAAATGTTTAAGCATGGTTCTTTAAATTTTGAAGTAAGCTTACTCAAGCAACTCTGCTAATCAACATCTGGGAGGCTTTCAGAAGGGTGAGTGGAAAAAAAAAAAAAACGAGAAGAAAAAAAAAGGAGAGGACACTTTCCATGCAGCTTTCAAATCTACAGTTTATCAAATCATTTATCTGACAAAGTATGTGACAAATACTGATGAAGATTATATAAAATTGTAGGGTTTTTTTTGTTTACTACTAAGTCTAATTTAACTAGGCTTGAAAATGCAGTAGAGTATTTGCTGATGACACTGTGGCTCCGTTTCCATACCCAGCTATCTTATTTACAGAGCAGAACGCACTACAGCGAGGGAGAGTAAGTGAAAAGAGGCACTACAACCAGCTCAGGCAAAGAGAGAGTAGTTTAAACAAAATGCAGGCAATAGTTTAGATATCTGCCATAAGTTTTTAATAACAAAAAAGGAAGCTAAAAAATCCTTCAAAGATTTAAAGATTAAGAGTAAGCCCAAGTGAGTAATGAGAGTTATGAGAAGCCTGGTTTATATTCTTGTCAGCAAGAGACACAGTTAGCAAGAGTGACCAAGGCTTAGAACCTGCTCATCTTAGTAACTGCTCTACTGCTCATCTGGAGCAATCCCTTTATAAGCCCAAAGAACCATCCAGCTTTAATAAAATAATTCCAAGGATAACTGAACTGTCCTAGTAAACAGCCTGTAACATTAGTTACTGCCATATCGGGGAATACCTCTTCTTTAGATATGTTCAAACAGCATTAAAGAAAGATTCTCACCTTTAACTGCCAGTCAAAATCCTGCAGCTGGGCAGAGGAGATTGCATTTACTCTTTCTACTAATGCATTCCTGATTTCTTCCTTTCTGCTTTTCAGGCACTTTGTGATCACTTCTTGATAGTTTGAATTTAACTCAGTCAACTGTTCAGCAGCCTGCAAATATTAAAATAGATTAGGACTGCTTTACTTACGAAGCAAACAAATAGGACACATCACACATTAATAGCTCCATAGGCATCCAAGCTTCTGCCCGGATTGCTGTTAACACTGGACTTGATGACCTCAGTTTACCTACCCTGTTCCCAGTGGCCACTACTCACACTCAGTATCTTTCCTATCAATAATACAGAGGGAAGGGGAAAAACAAACTGTCTGGATAGGTGCAGACTTACTAATGAAGCTCCTATTTATGCCTCCTTCTGTGCCCTAGCTACTAGGGAGTGCTCAAGATACCAACAAGGGGCAGGAAAAGAGAATTAAGACTCCCGATAAGGCCACTAATTTCTGCAAAATTAAGACATATTAAACTGCCCTGAATTACAAACCCTATCCTGCACGGTTTATTTCCTCTAGATGTGTAAGCACTTACACACAGCCAGTTTTTAGAGAAGCTTCAACACAGTAGTAATAAACAGACCAAACCAAAGGAGAGCATAAATTGTTTTCATTGCTAACGACACCGACTTAATTCTGCGTGGCACACAAGGCATCAGCTTGAATAACCGAAGCAGCACTGTAACAAATCAGTACTGTTCAGTACGGTACTTCAAAAGAAGTTGAACTTCACCTTCTCTTTCAAAATGAGCATTACATTTATGAAAGAAAAAAAAAAAAAGAAGAAGGGAAAGGGAAGGAAAAAGAAGAGAAGCTCCCCCTCTCCAGCGGCTGGCGGCTTCCTCCAGCCGCCGGGGGTCCCTTTCCTCTTCCTTTTGCCAACCGCGTTTTTGAAATACGCCGCCGTTCCCTGCAGAACCTCCATCCACTCCGCCAGGCTCCACACGCCGCCGTAGTCCTGGTAGCGCGGGTACGCGCGCCCGCACACGCCATCGACCACCTTGTGGAGGAACTGAAGGGAAGGAACCGAAAACTCGCTAAGTAATAAATTAATTAATTAATTACCCTGGGGCTCGCGCACAGCAAGGCCCAAGAGGGAGGGAGCCTCGGCCTCCCTCGTGCCCCAGGCCCGGTGCCCCGGCCCTGGCCCTGG